GTTTTGGGGATAAGGGGTTTTCGGGGGGGGGGGGGGACTCTGATGTGAAGTGGAAGCTCCTGATGTTAAGAGGGTACTCTGATGTGAGGGGGAAGCTCATGATGTGAAAGGGGGCTTTTGATGTGAAAGGGTAACTCTGATGTGAAGGGGACTTCTGATGTGAAGAGGGCTGCAGATGTGAAGGGGGACTCCACCCTGCTGTGTCAAGGAGAGGGTGACATCATCATCCAGTGTAGATGTCAGTGTCCTGTAGCCCATTACATACAGTTTTACGGTCAACCATAACAAAGGTGGCCCGTGTTTCAGGGACAGGAGATGAAGGAAAATCTCCCTAACAGAGATTTTAACCCTTCCCTACTCTATCCAACATTTTAAAAAAATGGCTTTAAATATATTTTATCCATGTGAACGCGCCGTATTTAGACTGCAGGCAGTGGCGTAACAATCGCCATAGCGACCCAGGCGCCCGCTATGGGGCCCGGGCACAGGGGGGCCCGGCCGGGGCGGCCTGGGTCGCTATGGCATGTGGGGGTGCTGGCTGTCACAGACACAGCTCAGCAGCGGCCACGGCGCATTTCCCCTCATAGCCGCTGCGGAGCTGTGTCAGTGACAGCCAGCCGCTGTGGCAGATGAGGGCAGTGTTCGGAATGGAGGCGGTGCCCGCCTCCTCTTACATCACTGGCCAGCGACCTAAGAGCAGGTGGGGTCAGTGATGTAAGAGAAGGCGGGGCCCATCGATAGCAGAGGAGGCGGGGCCCGGGAACGGAACAGGAGTCGGGGCCCGGGAACGGAACAGGAGTCGGGGCCCGGGGACGGAACAGGAGTCGGGGCCCGGCGACCACAGAGGCGCTGACAGGTAAGAGATCTCAGACCCTGCAGAGCACACTATAGAGAGTCTATGGTGGGCTCTGCAGGGTCACTCTCCGCTGGGGCTCTGCAAATGGCATGACTAGCAATCACGGGGCCCCATACAAAATTTTGCTATGGGGGCCTGTGATTTCTAGTTACGCCCCTGACTGCAGGTCTACTTTTCAAGCATCACCACCCCAGTGACACCTACCCTGAGCTCTCCCCTCCCCTACTAGATCAAGTACCCACCAATTAGCTTTCAGAGCAGACACTTTCACTGTCAGCCTGATTTCAAGTTTAGCTAGCATGGGGCAAAGAGAAATTTGAAGTAATTAAACTAGCCGCACTGAAAAATTATCTCATTACTCCTGATAGAATACACAAGCAAGCCCAATTATACCTTTATGTATTTGCCTGGAGTTCTCTGAAAATAAACTCACAAGACTCCAAAGAGAACGTCGCCTCGAAATGACATTTATCAAAGGGCCCGATCAATAAATTCCTTATTATATTTCCCAGAAAGCCATTATAGCAGCATCTCAATACACACCTCCATTCTCTACATAACATGCGCTACACCCTTCACCAAGGCCGGGCTCCCATCGAACGTGTAATCATTGTCCCCCCCGCGCACCGTGCCATTGTGAGCTCTGTATTAATCCTTATTTAGAAGAATGCCCGGCCAGGATTAGAACACTTTAATGGTTGTCAAGCATAAGTATTAATTAGGAGAGGAGCGGCTGAGCATTACCGCTGCCATAGAACCAAATGGACATCTTATCTTCTCATACAAAGGATGTCTCAAAGGGACGAGGAGTAATGTTATAGAGTCAATGGAGCGGGCGATGACCAACCGAGATGAGAATCAAATATATATTACGTGGCCATCCACAGAGCATCCATATCAGGGGGATAGAATGTTAATGAAGCTTTGCCTAGAATACAATTTCACAATTTCACAAAATTACAAACGTTCTAACGTCCCGGCATCTCCTCTCCTGTTATAACATCAGCATTGTAATAGGAATACATACTAGAGTTGTTGTTGATAATGCAATCAAAGCTTACTTGAAGAAATCCCTTTGATGTAGTCAGTGCCGCCTTCCGTCTGCCGTCTGCCCATCACTTTCAACAACTTCCTGGATTCCCAGTGTGCTTTGCGTCTCTTTCCCTGCTGCTTGATGCAAAGCAATCTCCATTTCTCAACACTACATATCCCATCATGCATTGCTCCCAGCAAGCAATGATAATGTTACATTGTTCAGATGTTGAATTGTATTTCAGAAGGCAGGCAGGTGAGAGTTGTGAATTCACAGGGCTGAATGACATGGTGTCAGTGCACTGAGGAAGTCCCTCCTATGGGCATCTTCAATAAGTACGTTTACAAACTTCTAGATCAATATGATTTATTTTTACTTTTTTAACAACTGTAATGTGTATAGGATACATGTTTTAGAAAGCTATATGCCATTTAGTTAGGGTTTACATCCACATGAATTGACCCTCTCATTGGCACTTCACTAGTTGGTGCAAATTAATGATATGTTTGTTTTTTGTTTCTTTTTTTTTAGGTGGGGGGGGGCAGTTAATGTAAGGGTTAGACCCCCAATGAGGAGCTCCTCCCGAACACAGAAGGAAGCTCCTTCTCAATCAGCTGCGGCTAGGGAATTCCGCACCCGCAGCTTGACTTAAGCAAGGGGTGGGGAAAGGTGATGTAATTGACCTTATATGGTAAATGAGCTTTACCTTTTATGTCCATGAAGAAGTGAGGGATACAACGTGCAAGGAGAGCGGGGGCTGTACTAGACAATTGACTCTTTCTGGAGTAGTCACATTTTCTAGCAAGTTCAAAGACACATTGTAAGCAAACCTAAGCTCCAAACACAGAAGGAGGTCCCGCAAAACAGAAGGAAGCCCATTCCAATCAACTACGGCTGAGTAATTCCTCTTCCCCAACTGCATTGTAGGCAATGGGGCAGGTAACAGTGATGTAATTGACCTTATATGACCACATGGCTATTTTTGGCCAATCTCATCTACCTAATATGGCCATATAAGGTAAATGACATCTGCCCCTTTGTTTTCGGTCAGTTGCAGGACAGGGAATGCTCCGACCCACAGCTGATTGGGCGGGAGGCCCATGTGGCTTCCGTGTTCGGTCTGAACCTGAGCTCGTCCCTATCACAGAGGCATGACATTTGATGCTCTTAGGCGTATTGTAAGCAGGCCGATTTTTTCATGGTGTTAGCATAGCAAAAATGTCTAACATTTTACAAATTCTGCCAGTTGTCTGTAAACTTCTGCACAAAACTGTATTTGGCAGCCGCAATTAGACATTACAAGACCACAGGAAGACCAGCATAACATTTTCCCTGACAGTTTTGACAAGAAGAAATAATTTTGTCTTAAACATTTTTCAAGCATGTAGTTAACACTATGAATTCATTACGAGGGAAACAGACAGATGTCTTCAGCACGTCGCCTGATTAGAATTCCATTCTCGGATCTATCCGTGTGGATAGACTCCAGGTCTGTCTTAATATTCTGCTATATGCCTGACTGGCTATATATTCATCACCGGCTTCCAATATTGATTCAGGATGTAAATTTTTAGGTTCCGGATTATGATTGCAGTTCAATATTATTATACAGCTCGTCAGCTCGACTTTTGAAGGCGTGTATATCAATATATCTCATATCCCCAAGGAAATGAAATTGCTATGTAGTTTTTTTCTTCTTTAAGATATAGAGAGCATATTCTTTGCCTCTGCCTATTCTTTCTCGTTCCATACGATTAATCAGCAAAAGGAAAGACAATGCATGCCGGAGACCAAAAACTCGTTATTAAGATCACAGAAATAACTTAACAAAAATAAGAAGAAAAAATCAACAATAAAATATATACATACTATATATATATATATATA